ATATTTTATAAATGATCAATAAAAATAAAATAAATATATAAATAACATTATTACATTTATTTATTTTATTTTAGAATAATGAATAAAAATTAGTTATAAATAATTCGAGTTATAAATAAAATGATAAAAAGGCCATTTGGACAGGAATAGCCAACTATTTTTTACGTTAATGATAAATATGTGTAACATTCATATATCTAAATAATTATATGATATTTATTATTAACAATTGTATTCAACATAAAAATGTGTAATATGACAACTTCATATCGTAAAAATATAATAATAATAATAATAATAAATATTATTATTATTCAAGTTTATTTATTCAAGTTTTTTATTATTATTATTATCAATATTATTTGTTTTAAAATATTGCACATACTATTTTAAATAAATAGATATTTTAATAAATATTTCGACAAATACATATTTTAATAAATGGAAATAAATGTGATTTACTCTGATAATACTCATACTGATCCCAGATGCAGTGAGGTACCAGTAGCAGCAGCAGCAGCTGAATTAGCGCAGAGGAGGCGCTTCCCCTTTAATTTGCCCACGCTGTATAGCGGTAAGGAGTGTTGGTGAGCAGCAGCAGCAGCAGCACAGCTCACTGTAGTCCCTTTGTATGCGCAGCAGTGCCCAACTGCAGCCTAAACCGCTCGCTCTAACACAATAATTATGAGTAAAAGACGAAAAGTTGGACTTTGAAATGGAATGGCTCGCTCACGCCGCGCCACTCCCTAAAATGAATGAGGAGAACACAAGTAAGCGCACGAGGAATCCCTGTGTATATTTCAATGGATATTTTGCATCTTGAAAACAACTCGGGAAGGTTGACTTTTTTTTTTTTAATGCATGCTTTGATGCATCAATGTCTTGAGTGAAACGAAATGCGTGAATGCCTTTAGCACAGTAATGCATGGGCATGCTTTTATCATCCACCTAGAGAGAGGAACCTATTGCTGAAGCATGTCGCTGCAGACACCTTTGCGCTTGCTTGAAGGGGTTAAAACACTGATCACAGCCGGTGTGATGTGTTTTTCATGGGTGCATGAGTCTGGAATCTGAATATGTGTCCTGTAATAAAAAATAATAATAATTTTTGGACAATTGGATAACAGCTTAAAGGGAACGCTGATTTTGCGCAACGGGAAAAAAACCCCAAACAAACAGCAAAATTAAGACTGGGAACATCTGAAACGTGATGCTCTATGGATTTCTGCCCGTAAGATGAGCGCGTTTGCTCAACAACAAGATGTTGCCACTCCTCAGAGCATCATTTTGGCCACCGAACTCGAGCGGCCACACGTATTCAGGCAATTCTCCTCTGTCTCTTGCGTTAAATGTTACTATCTTGTGTAATGTGAGCATGTTTGAGGCGACGCCCAACGCAAACAGCTCCCCTGTTTCTTTGCAGATCTCTGAATTGAGTCGAGACAACACTGTGAGGACACAGGGGGCGTCAGATTTTGCTGACCTTAGCATCTTTGGACCGTTTCAATGGGAAGCTCTTTGCAAATAACGCCATAAGGGAGTCCTCTCCGCTTTGCCTCCGTTCATTTCCTTGAGACACGCTGCTGTATGTTTCCCGTTTGTCCTGAAGGCGCATACGGGCGGATATATTCGAGTCCGGCGCGGCAGATCTGGCGCAGCGGGCGGGAGGAACACCAGGATCATTGCAGTACCTGTAATGAATGGCTGCTGAAAGACACCACTGACCCTGGCAACGAGACGTTTTATTAGTCCTGCTGGTGTCATGTAAACATAATCATTTAGCAAATGATTTCTCGGCGCTTTGGGGACCCTTGTTGCTTGCAGGTAAGCTTGCGTAACCTACTCTTTGCTTAGCTATTGTAGTTATACTGTCTGTGGATGCTGAGCTGACTGACTTCATGGAAGCTTCAAGTTGTTTTGTATTTGAATAACACACAGCTGAAATCCACCATAATTGAACATTCATTTATATATGCATATGTAATTCTAGATGATAGATACACACATTTGTAAAAAAAAAAAAAAAAAAAAATCATGCTATTGAAGAAGCACATTTATGGAGCAATGAGGCTATGTGATCCTCATAATTAATTACATTACAAATAAATTACTATTGCCTAAATATAGTCTTAACATATATTTACCTATTTTTGGGGAACTAAGGTAGACAGTGTTGCATTTCTTCAACTTTTCTATCTCAAGCAGTCTTGCTCTCTTGGCGAAATACATTTGGGGAGGTTTTGGAATATCCAATTATGATTTAAGTGCACTCGGGCTGTTATTCGATTTACAGTGCATAACTGAATCCTAAGAGGAATTATACAGTCTTGCCATGGCAAGTATTGATCTACTTGGAAGATAAAAGCAAATACAATGTGTAAAGTGGTCGGGCTGACTTCTCCATATGATTGATAGATGTTTTTAGATGCCCTGGTTTTCTGTAGCCATGCTTTATGTGTATTTCCTTAGCAGTCATGCTTTGGATCCTTGTGCAGTGCTTTGATGTCTCTTCACTTTCTTTGCAGATTTGATGGTGTTTGAGTAACTTGCTATATTAGTTCAAAAACAAAACGAGTTCTTTATGAATTGTGAGGAATCCAAATAAACTCACAGTAGAGTGGAATAAATTCATATTTAGTAAGCACATTGCATTGTTGTAGTGTGCATGCTGAAAAGAATGCTTGTTGGCCTAAGTAATCTTTTTTTCTGCTTTATATTTCTTTCAGTGTTTCCTGAGTTCTGATGAGAGAGGGAGGTGTTAACCAGTGAAAGGAAGCCCCAAATTTCCCTGCTTCTTTCCCACAAACTTTTAAAGGCAACATCGTCGCATCCTGACCACAAACTGCAGGTTGCATTCATTCACAGCATGACTGTTGCCACAGGCGACCCAGTTGATGAAGCCGCAGCTCTCCCGGGTCAGCCACAGGACACGTATGACCCGGAACCAGACCATGAGTGCTGTGAAAGGGTGGTCATTAACATCTCTGGCCTGCGCTTTGAGACGCAGCTCAAAACTCTTTCTCAGTTCCCAGAGACATTGCTTGGGGACCCCAAAAAGAGAATGCGCTATTTTGACCCTCTGAGGAACGAGTACTTTTTTGACAGGAACCGCCCAAGTTTTGACGCCATTCTGTATTACTACCAGTCAGGTGGCAGGCTGCGGAGGCCTGTCAATGTGACATTGGATATTTTTTCTGAGGAGATACGTTTTTATGAGCTCGGGGAAGAAGCCATCGAGATGTTCAGGGAGGATGAAGGATTTATTAAGGAAGAGGAGAAACTCCTGCCAGAAAATGAGTTTCAGAGGCAGGTATGGCTGCTCTTTGAGTACCCTGAAAGTTCAGGGCCTGCCCGGATTATTGCCATCATTTCCGTCATGGTCATTCTCATATCTATAGTCAGTTTTTGCCTGGAGACACTTCCAGTTTTTCGCAGTGAGGACCTGGACCCGCACAAAATTCCCATGGGCTCCAACTCAACAAATAGTTACACCTCCTCCTACTTTACTGACCCTTTCTTCATTCTGGAGACCCTTTGCATCATATGGTTCTCCTTCGAGTTCCTGGTGCGGTTCTTTGCGTGTCCCAGCAAAGCAGGCTTCTTTGTCAATATAATGAACATCATTGATATTGTGGCTATAATACCTTACTTTATCACCTTGGGCACAGAGCTAGCAGAGAAGCCAGAGGATGGCCAGCAAGGGCAGCAAGCCATGTCACTTGCCATTTTGAGGGTCATCAGATTAGTACGAGTCTTCAGGATCTTCAAACTGTCCCGGCACTCGAAAGGGTTGCAGATTCTCGGGCAAACGCTCAAGGCCAGCATGAGGGAGCTAGGGCTGCTTATCTTCTTTCTCTTCATCGGAGTCATCCTCTTTTCGAGTGCCGTCTTCTTCGCAGAGGCAGACGAGGCTGACTCGCAGTTTATTAGCATCCCCGATGCCTTCTGGTGGGCAGTGGTCACAATGACGACAGTAGGGTACGGTGACATGGTTCCAACTACAATCGGTGGCAAAATTGTGGGTTCCTTGTGTGCTATCGCTGGTGTACTGACCATTGCCTTGCCCGTGCCCGTCATAGTCTCAAACTTCAACTACTTCTACCATCGAGAGACAGAAGGCGAGGAACAGGCCCAGTACCTTAACGTGACCAGCGTCCCCAAGATAGACTCCTCGGAGGACCTGAAAAAGAGCCGCAGCGGGTCAACCATGAGCAAGTCTGACTACATGGAAATTCAAGAAGCTGTTAACAACAGCAACGAGGACTTTCGAGAGGAGAACATCAAGACCGGCAACTGCACCCTAACCAACACTAACTATGTTAACATCACCAAAATGCTTACAGATGTATAACTGCTTTGATCAGCCTTGTCGAAGAAGGTGAGATAAAGTAGGGGAGTGCAAACCCCAGTTTTGAAGGCTTCAGACGCCTCGTGCAAGAGTTTCAAGACGGGAGGACTGAAACGCGTCCATTTGAGAGAAGGATCAGTAAAGAAGACCTGTCCATCATTCCATCCCCATTCCCTGTCGCAAGTTCTGGAAAACTTGTTGTTTTGCATCCTTGTGTTCAGTGTCTGCATGGAGTTTGTCTTTTCTGTGTGACTGTTCTAGTAGTCGTTCTGCTTGCAACAGTAGCCAAATTGTAGCCTAACCGATAGATACAAGCGTAGCATAGAGGGACCAATTCCTGACTCCCATTCCCCCATTCACTGCCAACCTGAGGACCCCTTGAGTCTTTTTCGAGTGTATTTGTACCTTAAAAGAACAACAATTTTGTCACTCCAAATTGATCAGTGGCTTTAAAACATGAAGGAGTTAACATATTTGTGAAGAATCACCATGGAGGATGTATTTCTCTGTGAATGCACAAATGCTGCCTGTCCTGCCAGCCACAACAGCATACCATGTGTGGTACCTAAAAATGTAACATTCCAATTTGTGACGGAGAAATACATGCATGACCAATCTTGGGGGCCTGGAAAGCCGGTTAAATCTCTATGACCATTTTTCCCTCTTTTGCTGCCAGCGTTCTAGGATCTCAGTGTGTCCTGTCTTAGAGTAAACAGACCTGAAAGTGGAGCGGAGATTGTTTTGAAGTTGCACATTTTTCCATCGTTGTCATTCCACTATATTGCATGAGCAGCTGCCCTCCATTGCATCATTTCCTCACGTCACTTACTTTTCCCAGCATTGTAAACTTCCAAGCATTCCATGTGTATGAGAAATGTCTTTTGTAACGAACATCTACCACTACAAGCGCCTGACGAGGGGTTGCAGGAGTGTAGATATTTTACTGTGACATTGCAGCCAACAACAGCAAAACACTAGCTTACTAAGTCAGGTCACCAAAGATGAAGTTCACTGCCGCTATTTATTGCATTTTTATGTTGTTTTTACATTTTTGTGCCATTTCATGGTGCATCCTGCTCATAATATGATGCTGGAGAATTTGGATAAAACTTGTATGAAAATGATGCTTCCTTGAATAGCTTTTGTAAGAGATAGGAAATATTCTACAACTTTTGTGGTGCATGTCTGGTACACAGTCCTTGTAGCATGCATGTAGTAAGAATGATACTTACAAAACTAGAAATAAGTATTCATATCTTTATCAATATAAATATTTTTCTCTGTGAGATTAACAGTATGTGCAATATTATAAATGCTTGTTTTTTTTTTTAAGGTTACAAGATTTTGCAAATAGTTTTCTATGTTAGTAGGCTTAATATATGAGTTATAGTGTAATAGCCCCCTTTCACGGTTGAATACCATCAAGGTTGTTCATTTCGTAGTTTGGTTTAATTAAGCGAGGGGGAGTGAGATGCACCAATTAAAATGAGCATATCAAAGCACCACATTTGGATGTGGGGGAAATCTAACTTTAAAAAAATCTCAATCCCTGATTTAATAACAAGGGATTCTGAAGATTTTGTCAAATTAAATGTTGGTACATTTAACATGTCTAGTCTGTAGCCTATCCTCATAACTAAAGATGGTTTCTCTAGCTTGGTCTGTTGTGTTTATGTTAAAGACCTCATGAAATCAAAATTGTCTGTTGCAGCTTTTAATCCAGTTAGTTTTGAGACTATTGAAATGTTAGACTTTATTTATTTTTTTTATAAGTATATTTCAAATTTTCAGCCTTTCTGAAATAATGAAGCAAAATATTGATAGTTTAATCTGTTTAGGGGCATTTTTAAAATTTGGTTGATTAAATGCTCCCTAGAATGAGAAAGTCTCCTTCCTCTAGTGCCAACTAGGTTTGGCTGGTTAGTGTCAATACTTAGCCCCTGCTGGTAGATAATGTAACTACACCATTATGCATATGCAAAGGTATATTTCTCCATTAAAATGAAGCCATGTGTACTTATGAAATCATATTTTTTAAATAACAAATAAATCACAAAATATATGTTTATTGTTTTTACACTAGTGACTTTATTTATTTATTTATTTATTGTTTTTGTAAAACCATTTCATGGGGTCTTTAATGTGGGGAAAAAATAGCAGAAAACCATTTGTTTTGAAATCCAAGTGGCTCAGGACCTATGCAATTTACAGTTGAGAAGTAGAAAAGCTCTATGGTAACTAAACAGTACATACCTTACCACCCCAGGTTAAACACGTTCAACTGCCCAAGGTTTTTCTCAGAATTACATTCACTCCACTGCCAAAATACTTGGCAGATCTCCTTGCCACTATGTTTGCTGTTACGCTGGCCGAATGAGAGGTAGCCACTGGTCATCAAAGCTACGCAAATTCTCTTTGAAAACTTTAAAAGCCTCTCAGTGAGGCAATACTGCCATATCCAAGAGCGTGGTGCGCCATTCACTCCACCCTTTGCAAATGCAAGACTTCCTAACCTAATAACACTTTTACTTCCTCTGCCCAGAGCTTCAACGAGTGAGGGTTGGGGTTTGAACCTATGCTAAGTAGAGGTCTAGAGGTCGACCGATGTATCGGTTTTGCCGATTAATCGGCACCGATAGTTTTTTGCTGGAACTATCGTTATCGGCAAAAATCCATGCCGATAGTTTTCCGGGTTGCGTCCGTTGCTGGAACGGCTGAGAAGGGTCTGCTGTCATTATACAGTATGAGTACAGTACAACCTCTAGTGGTTGAAATCACTGACAGCACGTGCTATTTGTTTAGACACGTGATACTGCACGCTGAACAGAGCGGGAAACTTCAGACGCGGATTTAAATGCAGCCGACAGAAAATCCTGCCGCGCCACAGAGCGCCATTCACATAGTTTTCCATTAAATTACATTATATTTGTCCCGAATTGTTGTTAATGCTTCATTTATAGAGCTATAATATAGATCGCGCTTTCTCTTTCCGTTTGCTCCGTTTTTTAAACACGAACTTCAAACTCATAAATGCCTCATTGTCTGTTCATTCTTGAAGTAAACTTGTGTCCGTTTGGTGATTCAATAAACTGTTTTAGACCGCTGCTCGAATTGAACGCGACGCGTCCGGAGTGTGTGTGATACCGGTGAGTTCTCCTAGACCCAGCGCTGCGCTTTTATTTTGATTAGATAATCATCAAGTGTTCAAGAATAGAAGAAGCTAAAGTGTGAGAGTTTACATATAATATCCATATGTATATAATTTTAATGCTATGGCCTTTGTGTATATATTTAAAGATGTGCATCTTTAAGCATGACTGTTGAAATGAAATGGTAACACTTTAAAATAAGAGTCCATTTGTAACATTAAGAATAATGAAAGCTGTGTAATGAAAGTATTGTTCCTTGTTAGAGTGTGTTAATTTCAACATTTTTATTATTATTACTACTACTACTACTACTACTACTACTACTACTACTACTACTACTACTACTACTACTACTACTACTACTAGTAGTATGGTTCAGTACTGTTTTTTTAATAAAGCATTATTTTAGTTTTTGTTCAGTATCCATTTTAAAAACTATCGGTTGATTAATCGGTATCGGCCAGTGTGGTCCAACCTAGCTATCGGTATCGTCAAAATCCACTATCGGTCGACCTCTAATGCTAAGCCATGCTACCTGCTTTCACCAGTTTTAAGGAAATGTTTAGAGAAAGCAGAGATCATTTAAGAAGACTTGGAAAAGTGAGCGACATATTGCAGCCGTTACTTTAACGTTCAGCCTTAATGGATGGGACACTTTTCTTGGTCTCTCGAAAAGACATGAACTTGTGTCAAGAATGTGATGACATTCTTGAAGTCACTTAAAGTCAACATGAAACTGTTCACAACCCATTTTATGACATGTGTCTAAGCAAAATACGATATTTGATTAGAAAAATGTTGAAATGAATTGATTAAAGTATGAAAAGGACATGAGATTAAGAGGGATTTGTGAAGTTAAAAAAATCATGTTGACTTATTTGTCATAGTTTAAGGCATTTATTCATACATATATGTATGTATATTATATATATATAATTTGCCTCCATCATCATTTTTTAAAGAAAAGCATAGTTTAGAATCACAATGAATTTTTTCATCCTCTCATATTTACCTTCACCGATTCCATCACATCCTGTTTTAATGACTGTATATCCTACATAACATACGCCACTCTGAGGATGCTTGTCAGTCGCCTCTGGAAAACAGACTTTCTCAATTTTTTTTCTTTTCCATGTGTGTTGTTGAATGCATGCAGAAGCGCTTTTACATTGGATGTCCATGCAAAGGATGGTATGCAGTAATCAGGCAAGCCCTTTTACACTGCCAGTGCTACAATCGTCTTTGAGACGAAGGGATTATTGATAAGATGTCGTAATTCTAGTTAGCGTTTTATAGCGAAATACGCCGAACTGATGCTCTGAAAGTATCGTATTTAATAGCATCTCCATAGCTGCCTCATCCAGTCTGAAATTGTGAATATATTGTTTTGAATATATTCCCTACGACAGTCGGTCTGTACATTTGTAATACTCTAGAGATTTCAAATACTTTTAACGCTTATATATGAACACAGCTTTGTGATAATACTTTCAAAAAATCAGCTGCTTTCATTGTTGTCTTAACACAAGCTATAGCTTTATAAAACACCTCCACCATGTAACGCAGTTTCTTAATAGTCAAGAAAATTCACAGCTGCAATTATATCCTTTAAACCTCATCCAAATCTAGATGTATTGTAGTATTAGTATACATCATATACATTAAGCACAAGCACTGAGAAAAAAAGAACCTGTAATTATCATAGAAGCTTTGCCTATCGAGTAATGCGGTATATCAATGTATCAGCAATCAAACCAAGCCTTTATATCTAATCAATATTCAACTGAATGTCATTACAGGCTTTACTTTTCACACTCAGGCATGATTTATGGATAAAAAAAGCCCTCATTTGCTATAAACATGTACATGCAATATGGAAATACATTGTATATATAGATAAAGACGGGTGGACGAATGAACAAACAGATAGATGAACAGACCAAGATTGAGAGGATAGATGAGCAGATGTGATTCAGAAACAGATCATAACAGAGGTGTTTTGGGGTTGATGGAGGTGGGAGCTCTGAGCTCGTGTAACCCCTCTATCCCGGGTCCTCACCGCCACACCTTGTTCTCGCTCCGAGTGGGTCTCGAACCCGGGTCTCCGGCATGGGAGGCGGACGCACTAACAAAGGAGGCTAAAGACTGCAGTCTCTAGCGTCAGTCGCTAGCTTCTCATCTTGTTTTGAAGTGAAAGTTAGGCCTTGTTCACACTGCACATTAATCCGATTTGTTTTCCAAATCCAGTTGTTTTGGACTGACTGTCTATGCTGCGGTGCTTAAAGTGACTGGATCTGTTTGTTAAGACACTGTAGCCAATATCTAATATAGTGTATCTACATTGCTCACTATGGTAATGACTATAGCATTAGGATAATGCTAAGCTACTTTCTTTTATAACAACTGAGAGAGGGTGTATTTTATTCATCCATTGCATTTATTTACTATGTAGCAAATAATAAATTCCATAGTTCACTACATGAAAAAAAAAAATGGGTGGATGTTGTCTGTGACATTATATACACGCTGTGGCCTGAATTACAAAAAACAAAAACAAAAAA